CACACAATTTGGGCGTGTTACATTCTTGAGAGGCTTTTCAGACACCTGAACGAGATGCCAAGCTGCATTGGATATATACAGTCTGCGAAGTTAGGAGAGAGACCCAGGCTGTGCATACGGATTTGGGAGTCATTAGCTTATAGGTAGTATTCTATGTGCTTATCTAGGAAGTGTAGGGTGGAAACAGGAATCAAAATTATATTGTAAAGTGATAGTAGCCTTTACTCATGAATAATGCCAAAAGAAATGTACAAAAGAGAATTCGGTAGAATTGTGAGTGGGTGGTCTTGTCTTTTTTCCCCTTTATTTCTACTCTTTTTTTGTACTGCCCCTATTTTTTTCTTTTTCTAGTGAGCCTATATATATATTTTTTAAGATTTTATTTATTTGACAGAGAGAGAGAACAAGCGGGGAGAGTGGTAAGCAGAGGGAGATGGAAAAGCAGGCTTCCCGCTGAGCAGGGATCATGACCTGAGTCACCCAGGCACCCATAGTGAGCCTGTGTTTTTAAGGTGAGCTATAATTTGGCAGGGGTGATGGTGCTGGCAATGTTACTTTTCATTATGAAAAGAACTTACATAAAGTTGAACTGAATAGTGTAATGAACTGCCGTACACTGATTCCTCAGTTCCAATAACCACTCACAGCCAATCCTGTTTCGTTTATAGTGCCATCCACCTTCCTCCCTATATTATTTTGAATAATATCGAACATCACGATATTTCATTGTATTTTCGTAGGTGTCTCTAGGACTGCTTAAACAATTAAACATATTTGCAAATTATACAAATATCAAACTATTATGTTGTATAACAGAAACTGGCGTTATATGCTAATTATATCTCAATAAAAATTATACATAGCTACACCACCATTATTCAAAAGTTAATAATTCCTTAATGTCATTAAAGAAACAGCATTTAAATTTCCAGTTGCGTCATAAATGATTAAAAACATTTTTCGTCTCTTTTCAAATTTCTTCGATTCAAGGTCCACACGTTGTGATTGGTTGGCAGCCCCTAAGTCCCTCTTGCTCCGTCACTTTTTTCCCCTGGCAACTTACCGAAGAAACAATATGCCAAATTGCGTGCCTTCGGTGTCATTCATCATGATCTCTGTCCTATTTCCTGTAAACTGGTACATGTCTGATCAGATCTAGGTTTCATTCTTTTCTGGAAAAAAATATGGGTAGCAGTATGTTCCTCGATCAGAAAGCATGGGGTGTTAAGAATGCGTCTGTGTATTTTTAGCAGCTGCCCTAAGCATGGGCAATGCTTATTATTCCATCAGTTCATTAGAAGTTGCAAAATGGAGATCTTGTAATTTCATCATTACTTTTTCACTTATTAGCTGGGAATGCCTTTTCAGAGCAATTGTATTCCTCCCTCATTTACTGCTCACTTACCCAGAGATACAGTTTGTATGCGAACCATAGGAAATACTCTTTCTTCTCTGTTTATTTACCAATTTTTAAAATTACGAGTTAGCTCACTAGCATCCTCTAATGGTGAGCAATTAGTGCTTTGTTTCTCATTGTGGTGTATGTGTCTATTCAGTATCATTTTGAATTCAGGTATTTAAAACATATTCAATGTTTCAGTGCATTGCAGTTAGGATTTCCTATACTGATGTTCAAATTGTACAATCTTCCAGTTGCCTTATGAGTCTTTTTGAGAGCATACTAAATAGTCCTCGAAAGCTTTCTTACTATCTGGCATAAGATGGTACATACTTTTCCCACTAAATATGTACATTTTTTTTCTTAGAGAAAATATCGAGTTTATACTGATAACTCTAATTAAGAGCATGACACAGATTTTACTAAATGTACCTCTTTTCTCTTTAGCCGAGAATCCCAGGCCTGAGTGACAAATGAAATAATAGAATATCACATAATTTTTCACTTGCTTTATCCCACAAAACTTTAGCTCACACAATAATTACAGAATAACAATATTGACACTGCCACCAACATTATGATTATTGTCAACAGTATAAAGATTATTCTTGCAGGGGTTTTCAATTTTTTTTTTTTTAACCTTAGAACATATCCCACTAAGGAGGTACAAACTATTGCATTTTATGGCAATTAGAATAGTCCTCTGTGTGGTTATGGCACCAATTGGCTGTCTTAGGTACATTTGTTTCATTTTTCTTTTCTTTTTTTTTCTTTCTTTCTTTCTTTTTTTTTTTTTTTTTTTGAGACTTTTACTTCACGAGTGAATGGAAGTAGAGGATACAGGTTTCCAGTTATGGAATGAATAAGTCATGGAACTAAAAGACACAGCATGGGGAATATAGTCCATGATATTGTGATAGTGTTGGATGGTGACAGATGGTAGCTACAGTTGTGGGGAGGATGGACAGCATAATGCATAAACTTGTCAAATTACTATGCCATATACCTGAAACTAATGTAACATTGTGTCAACTATACTCAAATAGAAAAAAAAATTTAAAGATTGTTTTATTTTATAATTTTTAACAATATCTCAATGACTCCAAAGTCAAATCAATAAAACATATGTTCAAAGATCTCTATTTCTAACACTGTCCCCTCCAACATATTTTCTCCCTCACTCCTTATTGGTAACCATTTTTAAACAATTATGGTTGAGTTTTCAGTTTTTAAAAACTATAAGCAGATACTTTTGTGTATGTATGTGGGTGTAGCCCTCCCCTTAACATGCTATGGCATACTTTCTTCTCCTTTGCTTTTCTCACTTCAACAAATGTACTGTGAGGAGTAGCTGAGTCAATTCTATGGCTAAATAGATTCGTTATATGGATGTCCTGAAGTTTTTTTTTTACCAACCCCTTAATCTCAACTGTTTTCTGTTTCTGCTATTCCAAATAATTTTGAGTTGTGCATATGTCTTTGCATTTTTGTTAAGAGTATGTTGGGGACCAATTCCTAGACATTGGATTGCTAGATCAAAGCATAAATGTGTATGTTATTAAAACTCCACAGGACTATTTGGCAACAGCCACAAGAATTGTTGGAGAGTGTCTGTTTCCCCACAACTGTGTCAACAAAGTATGTTGTCAGATTTGGAATATTGCAAACCTATAGGTGACAAATGGTTAACTCCATACACTTTTAATTTTTTCTTAATTTTCTTTTATTACGAGTAAGGTCATTTTTTCACATGGTTAAAAACCATCTGCACTTATCCTATGAATGATCTACTTATTCCTCTGGCCCGGTTTCTTTACAGTTGTTGCTTTTTTCTTATTTTAGAAACAAGTCAATCATTTTAGTCAAAATACAGTTTTCAACACTCTAATCATTTAACTTCTCAGATTGCATTTTTCTTGAGAAGTGGTGACTAGCACAACAATTTCAAATGCAGTCATGGCAGCATAAACATGAGAGAAAAAACCACAGGGCTTGTCATCTACTATCCCCTTGTCAATTAAAAAACAAATTCTGCACCTTATATACTAAGACATTGTTTAGAATGGAAGTTTTTCTTGGCCCGTAAGCTTGTCCTATCCAATTGACATCCAACTGATGATTCTCATCATCCTCAACCTCTTAGCTATGTCTGAGAGGATGACTATACACACACACCTCCTTAATACTGATTTTGTGTGGCAAACTAGGCACAAGTCATTTGAACCAAGTTACCTCAATTCTTTTTGGAAAATGGCAGGGCGTTAATAAAAGTCAATATGCATTTACCACTTCCTGCTCCACTTCCTTGGCTACAAAATAAAGCAGTTGGAGAAAATGGCCTGTAGTGCTCTTCTCAACATGTTCAGTATTTGGTCTTACATCATTTCCTTTTCAAAACTCTAGTAGTCTACCCAAACTGCCTTTAAAATATAGCTCCAAATAATTTTTCCAAGTTCACTCCCCAGTTCTTTTCAAAATAGCCTCTACTCTTTAGCCCTTCAATCTTTCATGCCTTTTTAAACATGCCACTTGTTCTCAGAGTATGTGCTCTGGGCCAGAAGCAATAGCATTACCTGGGAACTGAGAGATGCAGCTTCTTGGGAACAATTCCAAACTCATGCACTCAAGACATTGGGGCAGAGGCCCAGTTACATGTGCCTCATGACGTCCTCCATACCACCTATGACTGATGCATGCTCAAGTTTGAGAAAGCAATGACTTAGACTAACATTTCCAACAATTCTTAGGATGCCCTTGCTAAAAGCTATCAGCTTCTTATTGCACTTCCTAATACCAAAGTTCCAGATATTTTTTCATGTATATGGTCTCCCCAACTAGACTATAAAGGTCTAGGTCTATAGACCATTAAGGTCTATAAATCAGGTCTTTAACTCATTTTATCAAACAACATAGCATGGTTTTAGTCATGTTCCAAAGTTTGTAAAAACAAAACTACATCTAGCTTGATTTGCTTTATTATTGCTTTGAAATATCTCAATAGTTCATGAAAGCAGTCTTAATGAACATGTAGCAAAACGGAATGTGTTTGCCTGAACCAATTCTCTCAAATCTGTTAACTTCAAAGCCTCATACTGGGAAAATGTAGATGAAGCTTATGAGAGGCTCAGTAATGGTCCCCCAAAATGTCCACGTTTTAATCTCTATCAATAGGTTACCTTATGTGACAACAGATGTGACTAAGAATTTGAGATATGAGGACTCCTGATCATCCAGGTGGGCCCAATAATGTCCTTATTAGAGGGAGCAGAGGGAGATACCATGACCAAAGAGAGAAGACCATATGATGACAGAGCTAGAGAGACTTGAAGATGCTACATTTTTTTAGCTCTGAAGATGGAGGAAGGGGCAAAGAGCTAAAGAATGCAAGGAATGCAGCTCCAAAAGCTGGAAAAGGCAAGAAAGCAGATTCTCCAGATAAACTGGAGCCTCCAGAAGGAACCAGTTCTGCTAACTTTGACATTAGCTTAGTAAAACTGATTTTGGACTTCTGGTCTCCAGAACTATCAGAGAATTAACCTTTGCTGTTTTAAGCCACTAAGGTTTATAGAATTTGTTGCAGAAGCAATAGGAAACCAGTAGAAAATTTCTGACAAGTTTTTATTGTGAAATATTGGATTTAGAAAAAAGTACAAAATGTCAACAGTCAGATGTGTACAAGTACAGTATTTCAATAGTCTATACATGTGAACAGCTTACCAGGTTCACCAGAGAATGCATATATAGACCAATACAATCTAAAAAGAACTGCAATATTCACAGGCTATTAATACATAAATAACTTGGGCCAAAATGACCCTCACTGGTAAATGCTAATTAATAGCTGAAAACGGGCTAAAAAGCACAATACGGCACACCATAGTATCTCCTTACAGGTCCACATTTAAATATCAGCTCATTATGTCAATACACTACAGATCCAGGACTGGGACTCAATTACTAGTTTATACAATTGCAAAAAATTTAAGTTATAAAATAAGGTCATGGAATAACGAGAGGGCATTTAATTAGGACTAAATACTGTGAAGCCCCTAAAAAGTTTTAGCCTTAGAATTTACAAAGCTTAATGACTGAGACTGAATCTTCAATTTTTAATCTGTTTCCTAAAAAAGGGGGAAGGGGCACCTTGGTTTTTAGTAGCAGCTCCAACATGTTATAAGAACTATTACACAGTTTATTTTAAAACTATAATGAGCACTGTGGATTGATAAATGGCTATGAAACCAGAATATAAAAGTATAAATTTCAAAGAAAGGTAATGACTACCTTACGAATTTAGCAAATCCTGCAAACATTAAAATCTGTGTTAAGAAGGCATTATCTATCATTGTTGAGAGTACTAAATTTAGGAAGAATATTGCATGAAGAGCTCATAAAAATAAACTGGTTTAATTTTTCCAAGTCAAGTCTGATTGATTCAATCTTTTGCTATATTTCTTCAAAATTACCCTAGATAATGTTTTCAAATTGGACAAAGAATTATTTGATATCAACATATAATGAAAAACTGCAGGAATCATCTCCTGAAACATTGGTTATGTTAAAAACAATTATTATAACTATCCTGTGTTCTGAGAAAAGATGATCTTTGACCTGACATTTATAATCAGTTTAAAAACAACTTAAAAACTAATAAATTTATTAACAGTTTACTTAAATTTAATCCTTGCCCATAAATTCCTAAGAGAAGGAACTCTCTCCCACTCTATACAGTATATCTAGCATTGCCTGATGCTTTACAATTGAACTGGAAGTCTGAACTTGCATTTATTAAGGAGATCAATTGCATTAAAGGCTGAAAACCAATGGATCAGAAAATAATTAGTCAATAACTTTACATAACCTATCCCAACCTACTTAACCTTTTATAGACAATTTTAAAGACTCTGATATAATTTTCTTATAAATAGTACCTGTATCTTACAGTAGATTCCAATTTACTCAAAGATACTCATGGATTGATTTATTTAAATTTTTCCAGATTTGCATTAAACTTATAAATCAAATATGGTGTACATAAATATTAACTTAGATAACCACATATTATAGGGAAAGCAGATATATGGACCACTGCAGAAAAATTATAAATTTTTAAAAACTTTTATAAAAGGAAAATAAAGAACATGTAACTCACGAAATATGAACATGAAGCCATATGACATAAAAAATAAAATTACTCTATCAGAAATGATTTAAAATTAAATCTTTGGGGAAGTATTTTTACATAATTCAATGAATTCAGTGACCAACAGCTTCTCATATCACACAGAAACAAACCACAAAATCATCTAGAGTCTATATGCATTATCGGTTCTTAATGGAATCTCAAACATTTTACTAACAACTTTGATTTCCTTTTGAAATAGGCTTCTGTACATATGCATTTATATACAAACATTTATTAAACATGATTTTAAAACAAACTATATGTACAAAAGATTGGCATTCCTATAAATAAAAACATTAGGTGGCAAAAAGGCACTTGTAAGTAAAAATCTACAGTAGTTTGTACAAAACAGAACACATTTTACCTTGGATACTGTACAATAAACATTAATTCCTATACCAATAATGAAAATACTAGTTTACTAACTAATGTTAATGATGTAACTTTTAAAAACATATTTACATATACTCTGAAGTTCATTTAATAAAAGCACCATGATTTTCTCCTAAATTCATGTTGATGCAAAGTAAAAACACAATTACCAAAAAAAACCAGTGTTTACCATTTTCCTTGTTTAAAAGTTTTTGTATTTCTAAATTGAAAACTGTTTATCTGAAATCAGCATAGTGTAAAAACAAAACCAAACAAACCGAAAGCCCTGCTGCTCTGACTTCTGAACACCATCATCCACTCTATTATTGCATGTTGCATTTTATAAAGGGCATGACTCATGCACTCCTTTACAAGTGTTTAATACTATTGCTGGCAAAAGTTCCTGGATATCAAATCATTAAAAAGTAACTTCAAGCCAGTTGAAGTCTTATTTGAACGTTTTACAACTTAAAAAATGCTGTATATCAGTTATAAAAGTGAATAGGAAACACGCCAATTCATCTGGTGTGCAAAAATATTTCTCCACTACACAGAATTTAAGGGCTTCACAGAATTTTTCTCAAGTTTACATTTTCAGCAGAAACACTACATGAATAACTACTTTCTCAAGGGGATGTTAGTATGCTTCCACTTTTGTCAAACTTTTTACCCTTCGACAATGCTGCGACCTGTTTGAGTAGTTCTCTGTTTTTGGCCTGTAGGAGACAAAAACATTTAAAATGAAAAATGCTTGAAATATCAGGTCATGTTGAAGAATACTACTTATTTAATGCTGTTCTTTCCACTTACACAACAAGATTTCATTGAAACCCTAAGACCAGATGCAAGAGTTGGTAAATTAAGGTTCATCTCTTTAATGCTGCATATGGAGAAGGAAAATTCTACATTGGTTTATCAGCCCCCTTTGTAGATGTTGATATTAATGTAACTGTTGTCCAAAGATACAGTCAATGAGAAAAAAAAGGCAACTTAGACAATCCATTTAAGAGTGGGTCAAATTTTAAATAAGGAAAAAAAATATCTGGTTCTTTAACTTAAAAACATAAACTGAAAATAAGTTTTCTAACTAATGACCCAAATAATGATTTGGGAGGAATACTGCCCAACAAAATGTACAGTCTTCTATTTGATATTTACCTATTTATAGAATAAGCAAAAGAGGCCTGTTTTGTAAAAATATTCACACTTTATCACTTTGCCAAAGGGACCCTGTCAATTTAATGCTATTCAACTAATTTTTTTTGAAGCACCCAGCAGAAATGTCCTTCTTCTCTGATTTCATTTTTGTTTAATTGCCACAGCAGTCATTAGGTACTGCCTTTGATGTAATTTGAACATCTACACATCATCGTTTTCAGATCTGTGAAAGGATGAAATTATTTTTCAAAGATTCCAAGTTTCACTTTGCCATTGATCTGAACTGAATGTCCCCTTCATTCAAATGTTCCACCTGCCAAAGACACTGTCTTTGAGCCAAAGCACTAGGACAGTCACCAGTGTTTAGTGAAAAGGAATGTGTAAAGAGCGACCTTCAAGTGAGTACTTTCATATTTTGACTGCCTTTGTCTCCCTATGTGATCCCTTAACTGTGGAAACCCAGGTAATAAGAACCCTCCATATATACAAAAACATTAATGACCTCCAACACTTCTGTTGGAGTTTTTGAGCCAAAATTGGGAAAGTATTGAGAATAGACTAGAATCTGAGTGCTGCTAAAAGGAACAAAATTTTTCCTCTTGTTTATGTAGGAAAACCATTTATTTTCCTTCACAAGTTTCAACATTTTTTATTATCTAGATAATACTTTTTTTTTTTTTTAACCTCAGTGTTTCATCTTCTACTCTAATTTTGGCCTTTGTATGGCAAGATAACACCCTCCCTTCTCTGTATAACATCTTAAACAGTTTCATGAAACATAAACCTTTTTTCAAAGCTTTGTACTTCTACTCCCCTACCTTTCTTCAACCAAACTCTCCCCAATACCTATACTTCCTAAATGCAAATATTCCTAGAACAATTTCTTATTTTCAAACCTAACTATGTTTATGTTTGTCTGCCTGATTAACAGCATTTGTTTATTCAATAGTCATTAAATAAGGGGGTAATTAAAAGTTTCAATTTCAGGGGTGCTTGGATGGCTCAGTCACTTAAAAGTATCCGAATCTTAATTTCAGCTCGGGTCATGATCTTGGGGTCGTGAGATACAGCCCCATGTCAGACTCTGTGCTGGGCATGGAGTCTGCTTATGGTTCTCGTCACCCTCTTTCTCTGTCCCTCTGTCCCCAGCCCTCTTTAAAAAAAAAAAAAAAAAAAAAAAAAGTTTTAATTTCAAATTTGATTTCAACTTTAAATCTAGAAAATCATAAAGAATTTAACAGGATTTTGTTTTCCTTTAAAAATTAAAAAGTCCGAGGCACCTGGGTAGCTCAGTAGGTTAAGCCTCTGCCTTCAGCTCAGGTTATGACCTCAGGGTTCTGGAATCGAGTCCCGCATCGGGCTCTCTGCTCAGCAGGGAGCCCACTTCCCCTCTCTCTCGGCCTGTTTCTCTGCCTACTTGTGATCTCTCTCTCTCTGTCAAATAAATAAATAAAATCTTAAAAAAAAAATTAAAAAGTCGGAAAACTCAGAAGACAAATAATGTGAATGCCTGGCAGTTAGCAGTAAGTCAAGTGAGTACACTTATGATCAACTGGTTTATTGCTCAGCTGACCATCCTAGTCAGTGTAATAGTTTTAAATTGTTTTCTTTTTATTGTTAGCACCTTCAGCTCCATGCTATTTAATTTATAACTACCATAGACTCTCTTTGCCAAAAACAAATCTTAACAGAAATTTTAAAATGTAGATTAATGAAGGGCATAAAAAAATGGTATCTTTGCAAATGTGCCTCAAAGAAATTGCCATCAGATCTGTAAATTATATTTATCCAAAACCTTTTATATTGACAACATTCAAATTATCTTTTCTCGGTTTTCAATAAGAAGCAACCATAAAAATCAAAGTTTATAATTTTCATATTCTAAGTATGAAACACAAGAACTCAAACATTAGGTATTGTGAGAACAGTTTCCCCTTTTTTTAGCAGCTAATTTTCAATTTGCATTTATATATTCTCTCCTAACTATAACACTAATACATTTATTTGCTGATGAATTATGTAAGAAAAAAGCCCTTAAGAAAAACAAATGTATCAGTTGTTAAATGGAGATAAGTGTGTTACTCTAATTTAGGTACATTAAAAATGTATTTTACAATGCAATACTTAAATACGTATGCACTTAAAATTTTTATCCTAATGTTACTTCTTTATTACACACCCTGCAAAAATCAAATAATTTAAAACTCTTAACAAGTTAAGCTAAAAATGTTTAGAAACAGTGACCTAAAGGAAAGACTACCTGGAGTAACACAGATCCTGCTGTGCAACCTGGAGTCTATGTTCTCATACGTAAAACAGAAACCTCACCACCACCTCAAAAGGAGTTGAAAGGGGGCGCCTGGGTGGCTCAGTGGGTTGGGCCTCTGCCTTCGGCTCGGGTCCTGATCTCGGGATCCTGGGATCGAGCCCCACATCAGGCTCTCTGCTCGGCGGGGAGCCTGCTTCCCCCCTCTCTCTCTGCCTGCCTCTCTGCCTACTTGTGATCTCTGTCAAACGGATAAATAAAATCTTAAAAAAAAAAAAAAAAAGGAGTTGAAAGAACTAATCAAATAAATAAAATACTTAGCCTAACACAGAGGCTGATTCATAGCAGGCACTCAAATCTTAATCCCCTCTCCCCCTTCATTAACTTCACTCCTAAACAAAAAGTAGATTTTTTATTTGGTATTCTTGTTAGACAACTTAGGTTGTTTGTTTACTTTGGGTTTACTTTGATATTTTGCACAATTTTTTCTTGTGATGCTCACTGCTTATTTCTCAGGTTTTTAACAGTTTAAAATGTTTTGAGAACTATTAGAACATAGTAAATTTTCTGCTACAGGGTTATTTGTTATAGCAAAAAGGTAAGGAAAATAATTAACTCTGTTTACTCAACTAAATGGAAAACCCTACTAGGACATGGTTGAAGGGACTACAGTTAAGAGGATACATAACTGTAACAGAATGTCTCCAGCAATTAACACAAAAGATATAGGGAAGTGATCTGATAACAAGGAACAGAAACCTGAGTGACCTGAGGTGGTGGGAACACAAGAGAAAGTACAGTTTAATGAGTCACAAGATATAGGTTTCTATGTCAGTTCTGATTAATTATGTGACCACCAATTCATCTGTAAAATGGGAACTCAAAGTTATCGTCAAGAACAAATAAGAGAGCCTACATAAAATCATGTTAGAAATGTCATACTTCTATCTAAACATTAGTTGCTATTCTATTACATGGAAGTTCAGCTACTGATCAAGAAGAGTTATTAGGCTTAAGATACCAATCAGGATAAGATGTCAAAGAGGAGGTCCCCAACAAAATAAGACAAACTGCTCTTTTGGACAGTGAGTCGTACTAAGTTTTATCATAAACTTAAGTATTGCTCACAGTTTTTCTGTTACCTCGATTCTGGATTTACTCCAGAGTTTTGGTTACACCACTCTAAATCAGAGATCATCAGGCAGAAGATTCTGTTGCCAGGTAATCATTCAGCAATAATAACTGAATGAGAAAAATAAGAATATCATAAAGCAAATATATACTGGTAGTTGATAATGTCCAAGAACGACAATTATATGGGCAATTTCTCAGGACAGAAGGCACTCAACAAATTATTTGAGTGCCTACTATGTGCCAGGTTCTACACAAAGTTTCTCTTTAAAACTCTTTGTAAGACCAATGTTAAGACTAGGGCTGTAACTGAAATTCAGGTTCCTAAATCCATTTTACAATTTCATGCAATTTAAGCTACCTTCAAAGATGTATGAGTAATACAAACCAAAAGACAGGAATAGCACATATACCCCGGTTTTACAATGAAAAAAAAACAAACAAAAACTCAGGGCAGTATTCTCCCTTCCTTCCCAAGCTGCACTCCCCCATGAAGTCTAAACTCTACGTGTTGGTATGCACCTTCTATGCCTTTAAAACTTAAAATTACTTAAGTTTAAAAGCCCTGTTACCCAAAGATTAATTCTTCAGATGTGAGAATGTGTATCGACAGAACATGTAATTAATTTATTGTGGTCTGATTTCTAAATTTATGAAACCAAGGTGGAAAAGGCTTAAATAAGGGAGTAGTGTCTATCCCTCCTGGATGCTCTCCATCTCTGCATGCCGGACATCAGATACTGCCCTCTCTGGCACTATGGTGACTCTTGGCTTTACCATTCAGTTGTTCTGTATATTGGAATCCTCCTGAGTATACCTTGCAGTACTCTTGGGAGGCTGGCCTTGGCCTTGATCACTAGAGGCTCCCTGCTGCAGCACACAGAATCCTATTTGGCACCTTGAAAATCACAGTACAAAGGTTAAAGTGCACTCCTTTGCCTTTCATCACTGCATGTAACATAAATTTCCTCCACTTGAGGTCCCTGAGAATTGGCTTTGTACATCCACCTCCCTTCCCATAATCTGGAAAGATATAAGAATGACTGTACAATGTACTAAAGACCTTATTTTCACCTTAGTTTCATGAACCCGATCTTTAATTTTTTGTTTTTCATGCAATGATCAACCAAACATACTCCACTGGTATCCTCCTCTGAAAACCCCATAACAAGTTTAGGCAAACGTTTTCACAATTAATATACTCAATCCCCTTACCAAGTGATTTCAAGCAGTAACTCTTAATGGGAACAGGATTAAGAAATGGTAAAAAATCAAAATCGGGGTGGCTTGGTGGCTCAGCAGGTTAAGTGTCTCCCTCCAGCTCAGGTCATGATCTCAGGGTCCTGGGATCAAGCCCAGTGACGGGCTCCCCACTCAGCAGGGAGTCTGCCCTGGTTCCTGCTTTCCCTCTCTCAAATGAATAAAAAAAAAAAAAAATTTAAAAAGTCAAAATTAAAGCTGAAAATGCACCAAATACACATGAAATAGAGATACCAATACCAGTCTAAGACAGTATTATTTACAATTAAGCAAGGTTAGCTTTCCTTACATAACAGTACATGTAAACAATGTCATTTACCTGAAGTTGTTCCACAGTTTCTTTGTGAGCTTTTTCCATACTGTTCATCTTTGTTCTCAAATTTGACTCTTGGTACTGAAAGTCCGCCTTTAGTTCAGTTAGCTAAGAAACAGAAAAATAAGAATATAAATTTATATATGTGCATATGTAAAAAAATATATATGCACAAACATCATTTTAAACACCCTTCATTATAAATTTGCAATTCATTATAGAAGTGGAAGATGTTAGCAGCTTCCTGAGTTTTATAACTTATTTAGAATTTGTTTTGTGGAATGAAATTCTATTTTATTATAGTATATTTTAAAGTTAAGATAATACTGAACTGTCAGTAAAACTTTTGAGAAGATGCCTTTTTTTGTTTCAATTGAAAAATGGCTTTGCTGGACAGAGTTTGGCAACTAGTATGCCAACAGGAAAGTTTAATGGCTTATAACACAGAAAAATGCTTCAATTACAACATACTTCACATTATATATAAACAAAGTAAATGTTAAAGGTGATTTCAGGTTAAAATAATCTTTTAATGACAAAAGAGGAAAATGTCACAATGGTTAAGTATAAAGAGGAGTGGTTTTATCAACCATGAGCTATAATGCTTTTACTTTAAAATTTACATCCAGAATTATGTATCCAATATCACCTAAGACTTGAGGTAAAATGGAGAACAAAGTACAGAAATAAAACTAACATGGAATGAGAAAGAAAAGGGAGTTAATTTAAAATTTTTGCTAACTTAGACAAATGTAAGGGGAAAAAATCAGTGGTTTGAGGAAGCTACATTTTCTTCTTAAATATCAATGACATACATAAAAATACAAAATCCTTATGACCTTGAACTAAAAAATAAATTGATACTATATAATTTCATTATCAGAACCATGGAGAAGAAAGCTTCTGGTTATTTTTAAGTGGTTTTCATTACATATAAATTTTAAAGGTTTGTACGTTTTTTGTTTTAAGATTTTATTCATTTGAGATAGATACAGAGATAGAGAAAGAGAGAGCACAAGCAGCGGGAGAGGCAGAAGGAGAGGGAGAAACATATTCCCTACTGAGCTGGGAGCCTGACATGGGGCTCGATCCCAGGACCTGGAGATCATGACCTGAGCAGGAGGCAGACGCTTAACCATCTGAGCCACCCAGGCGCCCCTCCATGTTCTTTTTGTATAGATATATAACAGCAAAAAGAGAAAGAAAGTCATGGTGTATTATATTCTTATTGCCCAAATAAAAGCCTTTTCTTTTGCCAAATTCAAAGAATAACTGAATTCTCTCTCTGTTTATTACATTACAAAGGAATTCCTATTCTGAAATGTCAATTCACATCAGATCAACTAAGATAATTATTCTTGTCATTCCACTGTGTGTTGCCTTCAGATTATGAATTTCTGGAAGGATCGTGTCCAATTTATTTACTCATTTTTGTATCCTCATGATCCCTAGAAGATACATGGCTAGCTCTAGAAGTCACTGAATAAAGTGAAATAAATTTAAGAAAATATCTTGGTTGCCTTAGATTTACATTATGAGAAAAAATAGCAAATATGTAGCCATTTTAGTCTTAGAATTATTATTTTTCTTACAACACTGCTTATTTCCATCCCATTACTTTTTTTTTTAAAGGAACACTAACAAAAGTAGAAAACTTTCAACAAACTGCACTAAAACAGATGAGTCATGCTATGAAAAAAAAAAAAAAAACCAAAAAACTAATAAAGTCAAAATTCCACAATGCATTACTACTTGGTTTTGGAATTATTACTTTATAGCAAATTTACTATGTTATCCAATTTTACCTAGATTTCCTAAGCTAATATAGGTAAATCTTTGTGCAATAGATATGTCTCGAAAATTTTGTGCATAAAACAAATTTCCATAAAAGTTCACTAATTCAAAAAATTCTCCTAATCAAAAAGAACTATAAAAAGTAAGATACTCCTAACTATTCTATTTTTATGTCAATCCTAAATTTCATATACTGAATTTGCTTAAACTAAGATACAAATGTATTAAAATAAATTTAAATCTACTAACCATCAAGGCACGGGAAAATTTAACAAAAGTTGTTAAATGCCAAGCTCAGATTTAAGCACCACTATGGATACTCAGAAAGAGAGATAATTCATTATAATAAAGTCTTATTCATAGTTTTAAAAGGAATATTTTTAATGTTTTCCTATTGCAGAAGGCATTTAAAATAAGTCAAACTAGAATAGTTTATAGTGTAAGACTATAAACAAGTACAAAAGTTGGTTCTACCCTAAAGGTGACCCAACATCAGAAATAGCAGCTACGAGCATTATATACGTGGCAGGAGCTGTAGTAAGTACTTTATATTTCATGTAATCCTAACAACCACCTCCTGAGATGGTATTAATACTTCCATTTTTAAAAAAACTAAGGACCAAAATAAATAAATAAATAAATAAATAAATTCTAAAAAATAAATAAATAAATAAAAATAAGAAAACTAAGGACCAAATATGTGAAAGCATTCTGCTCCAGTTCACACAGAAAGTGTTAGAACTTTTCACAAAACTGACAACATATTTGACACTCCTAATCTAACTGACAAAGTCCTCAGAAGTATACTTGGTTCCTACAAAATGATCTTAGACACCTACTGCTAATCACAGACTACCACACAGGAAATTCCCATAGCACGACTTTTCACCAGTTATTTGATCTGGATTGAAATACACGATTGGCATGTCAAAGACTAAACTCAACTACTTTCTCAAATCACAAGAATTTACATAGTGGATATTCCATTTATATGTCATTTTCAAATTAAGACATTAGGCTTATTTTTAAGCTACAGGTTTGCAGAAAACTAATGTCCAGAAATTATTACAATTCTAATTAGCTCTCAGTTAATTCTTAAAACTAAAATTCTGAAAGACCATTTTCACCTATAATGTGTCTAGTCTTATATGAATTACCCACAAGATTACCAAATTAGTGAAGTCTAATAAAACTTGCATTTTCAAGCATAACTTAAGATGTAAATCTTAGCAGGCTTCAGTGAACCATGCTCTTACCTTTTTATCTTTTTCTAAAATGGTCTGGTCTCTCTGCTGTAAGAGACGTTTAAGTGACATCACTTCTTCTTTCAGTTGACTTATAAGGACAAAATTGTCTGTTCCCCCACTATCTGCTGACTGATTTATAGAGCTACTAAAAAGAAAAAAGTAAAACACAGTTAAATGAAGTAGAAGGAAAATTAGCAGGTGTTCAAATTGCATAAATTAGACAATTCCACAAACATCCTTAAGGCTAATGCAAAAAAATATGTACCTGACAGAAATGGATGCAACTGGCAAATTACCTTACTAATGGCACACATTACATACACCTGCAGAAATATAATTCAGTATTAGCTTTTAGGGGGTCAATACTTCTAGTGTAAAGCAATAGGCAGCCAATTTGTACAGTAACATCAGCAAACTTTTGGCTAATGAACTAAAAACAAACTCACGCTCATAATACTTTCAATACATTTTCCAAGCAGGTCAATTTAAAACATAACAATTAGATTTTTAGATTTGTGTTTCACTGAAGAATAATTAAGATTAAGAGAATGTTCTATTCAGATTTGTTCTCCTATTTTCAAAACCCAATGTATTCCCCAAATAGAACAACAGTTCAGTGCCACTTGCTCATTGCCAAAATTAAGTTAAAACTGTTAACTAATTATGGTTACTCTTCTAGGTGACTCAAAAAGTCAATGCAGAAGATAAATGTTTCTATTCTTTTACCTAGTCATAACTGGCAATCAACTGTAACTGTTCAACTAACTTGAATTTTCGTAGCGCTAAAGGAATTCATTTTTACCTATCTCCATTAGATGGCTTAGATTCCAATTTGGGCTTTTTCTTTGGAGTTTCATTCTGAATTGTTGCAGAGGATTTATGGCTGAAACCAAACATTAATAAGAATAATTAGAGTAAAAAGGGCAGAGGCACCAAGTGATAAGTTATTTTTCTTCCCCTAAAATAATTACCGAATATCACTGGTTTTTTAAAAGCCTAAGTAACAAAGTTAAAGGGATGGCACAATAAAAGAATATATATGTATCAAAATACTTCAGAAAATATGTTAACATATTTACCTCTGTTTCCACAGTCCCTGCTCTTGTTCTGGACTCAGATTGCTGATTCTGAAAAACATATAAATGACATCTAACAACAACATTTATTTAATACATATGTTTAACAACATTCTTTCCAATGGACTCAAATTGCTTATGTTTAGAATCTTTCGTTCAGAGAATGAATATTCAATTAAGTTTTTGAACTAAGCTAACATATTCTAAATAAATCACATTGTATGGAGATAAGTTCGAATCAAATAAGTGCTAGGCAATTGCTACTAAGTTCTTTAACAAAGGTATAGTGATAGAGATTAAATTCTCTCTTTTATCAGATCATTTTCCAAAAGCCAATTTAATATCATACTAAAAGTTGGGGTATATAAGCACGAAACCCACAAGGTTCTATTAATTATGAAGTATGACAATCTTCATACTTAGGCTGCCCTTACTATTTCAGACACAAAATGTTTGATCTTTAAAGGCCTTCCTAACAATCCTCCTTCGGAGTAATTCCAGTTGCTCAGAATAGTGTGTCAAGTTGAACCAGGAAATAATCTTGTTTCTTTCCTAGTTTTCCTAAGAACCCTCTCCAAAGTCTCTTGATGCTTCTTGAGTCAGGACTATAGAACAGACATGCTGAAAATACTGGGAATTTTATAGTAAGAACTGATTTTACTTTTACTTATAATTAAATGCTATATTACTAATTCTTTTCCATTATGCCATAACACTAATAATGACTTTATAATTTACTATGAACCCTACAAGTTTTCCTGCAGTTACGTATCAGCCAATCCTGCATTAACCCCTAATTTATTGATTCAACATGTACAGAGCATCTTCTACATACCAGATGCCACATATTTATACAATAAAAGATGTCAAAAGACCTAGGCTGTGTGACCTTTTTGCCAGTTACTTAAAATTCCTGAGCTTTAGTTCCCTCATCTGTGAAATGGGTATAATTTATACCTTATAGAAATATCAAACTTAAATTGAGTTTATATACATAAAAACACATCATACATTACTGGTGACATAAACAATAAATAAAAATAAGCACATATAGTTGTGAGAATAAAATTTACTATTGTAGCTTTAGAAATTTTCAAGCAAAAAAACAAAACAAAACAATCAGATCATGTTCTTAAAAATCAGCTGTAAATAAATACCTAGTTGGGGAAAAATGCTGTAATTCTATAAACTTGAGTTATTCTCTATTTGTGGCAGTAAACTGCAACATGACTGCGAGATTCAGTTGCTCTTTCTTTTACAAATTTCATCATAACCATTAGCAAGCCATATAATCACACATGAATTAACAGCACTATCCGGATCTCAAAGTGAGAACAATCACATTTTAATGGCTTAACAAAAACACTTGGAATTCACATCTTTGCTTTCTGAGGTGGCCATTCCTGGATCCAGATTGACTTGCTTTTGCTCTCTTCTACCCCATCCACCACTATATATATATCACAGTACGTACATTCTTCCTAACTATTCTAACCTACTAAAATTAAAATAGAACCTCACAAACAGGTTGCCTACTAACTAAATGGTCTATATCCATCAAATACAAAACAGTATTTCTATTTCTTAAGCAATAAAAAGGAAAAAAAAAATTAAGGGTCAATACCATCCTTATTCCTTTTACTTTTGACACCTGTTATTCTTTCTAAAGATGAAGTTACTGTCACAGAATTTGATCTTTATAAACATACTCCGTGTCCTATCACACACTAACAAAAATTTGTAAAGAACAGGAGAAAAGGACACTTTAGTTGAGTTTCAGGAGTAGGTCTGTGATAGTTACTTTGTCAGTTTTTCTTAAAAAGGCAAAAACAAGAAAGATTTATGTTCCTCTGTTCCTTGGGATATTGACAGAAGCACCACAAGATTTCTTCACAAGAGCTAGATTAGAAGTCACTATGCACTCCACAACTACAGCATGCAGAAAGTACTACAACAGGGTAAGGCAAGTGGAAAAATTGCTAAGTAAACATCAGTACCTCAATAAAACTTCATAACATGTGCTTGCCTATAATTTAGAATCAAATCTTATTGGCACTACATTATATTCTAAAAACCTGTTCTTAAATATTATAGGCATCAATTTTCTAGAAATGAAATTACGTTTTATCTATCTAAAATATTAAAGACTCAGAGAAATTTGGGAAAAAAACAAATTCTTCTGAAAACTGGTTATCATGTCCCTGTTTTGTCCATTTTGCGTTTAATATATTCTTGATTTTTCCATGAAGACTAAAACCACAATTCAAAAACTTTGTATCACACACATAATACCACTATATAACTTTTCCCTCCCAAGGCACTTTAAAAATCAAGTAATTATTTATATTTTAATAGAATTCCTGTCTATGTATTTTAAAATAAGTTGCAAAGTACTGCTAGTTTAAAAGATTATTTTTCACACTTTTGGAAACTTCAAAATTTAGAATGCTTCTATCATGATCTACAAAAACACTGAATGTATATACCCTAGTCACTGGTAAATATAACTGCATATGACTATAATTTGTATTTCTAACTGTAAATATAACTTTTACAAGTAAAGTCCTACCAATTATTTAAACAAAAGAAGAATATTGAGGCCTTTAATAACATAAAACCAATGAAGTATTAACTCTGGTGTACTTGTATTTTTACTTCATAGGATCATAATTTTATGTAATTCCGTAAAGGTCCTATCTTTATTTTTGTGGTAAACAGCTAACCACACTCCAGGTGTATAATTTTATACAGGCTTACCTCAAAGACACTTTGGGTTGGGTTCTAGACCACGCAATAAAAGTAACACTGCAATAGAGCAAGTCAAATACATTCTGGTTTCCCAGTGCACCTAACTTATATTTATACTATACTATAGTCTATTAAAGTGTGCAAAAGCATTATACCTAAAACAACTAGATACCTTAAACAAAGTAATTAAAAAATTATTGCTAAAAAAATGCTCATGTCATCCGAGCTCTCAGGAAGTCATGAATCACTGATCACAGATCACTGTAACAAATTTAATAAAGAAAAAGTTTGAAATATTGTTGAGAATTACCAAAATGTGATACAGAAATGTGAAGTGAGTAAATGCTGTCAGAAAATGGTGCCCGCAGGGGTGGCTGGGGGACTCAATCGGTTAAGTGGCTGCCTTCAGCTCACATCATGATCTCAGGGTCCTGGGACTGAGTCCTGCATCAGGCTCTCTGCTCAGCAGGTAGCCTGCTTCCCCCACTCTCTGCCTGCCTCTCTGCCTACGTGTGATCTCTCTCTCTCTCTCTCTCTCTATCAAATAAATACACAAATAATCTTAAAAAAAAATGGTGCCCACAGACCTGCTCAACACGGGGTTATCACAACCCTTCAATTTGTTAAAAAAATGAGTATCTGTGAAGCACAATAAAGGAAAAAATGTGATAAAATAAGGCGCACCTGTATACTGAATAAAGTAGGGAAAAGGCCCCTAACACTCAAGAAGCTTACCACGTACAACAGAAACCAGACTTGTACAAAAGTAGTATTTGCAAAAAGTTAAACACCAATACATGGCATTAAATACCAAGAGGATTTTAGAAAACCTGATTTGGAAGTACTTACTTGTGATGGCTACTGCTGTGACGATGGTGATGGTGATGATGGTGGTGATGATGTTTTGAATGATGCTGGTCTTTCTCGGTAAGAGATGAAGAAGATGAGTTTGAATGTGAAGATCCCAGGCTCTTCCTTTGTTCTTTTGTCTTCTGCAAAACTCTCTTGTATGATAAAGTACAGAGCCAGCATAATAACTTTCCGTCAACCTTTTTAAAGAAAATATTTGTATTAGATTCAATGTGCCTATAAACGGAGTTTAAGTAAAAAATACACTATTCAACTTCTAGCGCAGACACAGACTCATGTGCGCGCTCTCTCACACACACACATGCACACACACACACAGATCATTACAAAATGGAAATAAAATAAAAGACTTTCATGAAACTTGGGAAAATGCTCATCTGGTAGGTCGTAAAATTGGTAAGGATGATCTATGGACTTCCATTAGTTTTGAGGTTTTTTTTTTTAATTTTGAGAGAAAAGTTTATTTTCTTATTACAGGGACTTAAGCATAAATTGACATATTTCAAAGACTCTTACCTAAGCACCGGCCTGAATTCTTAAGTCACTGTGTAATTACTAAAATGACAAAGTAATCCCCACTACAGTGAAAATTGTTAGTTTATAGAAATAAGGAGAGCTTGAATAATATATACATTTGATTCTCATTATTCCCAGGTTTCCCATTTGCAAATTCACCACCTACTTGCTGAAATTTATCTGTAACCCCTAAATCAACTTGCAGCACTTTCATGATCATGCATGAACATGCACGCGGCAGCAAAACATTTCTGTAGACGGACAGCAAACATTCCTTGCAGAGGTTTAACAAGGTGACACTCTGGTCTTCTTTCAGCTCTTACGCCATAAACAAGTGTTCTTTTCACGGTCTATTTAGTGCTATGTTTTCTACATTTGTGTTTTCGTATCGGTGATTCCACTGCTTACAACGGTCCCCAAGTGTACTGCTGAAGTGATGTATAGTGTTCTTTAGCACAAGAAAGCTGTGATATACCTTACGTAGAAAATACATATCTCAGGTAAGTTCCGTCAGGCATATAGTGCTGTCTGCCATGACTTCAATGGAACTGAACAACAATTTATATTACATAAGATGTCTCTGAAGAGAAACATGCACAAAACAAGATTAAGTATTGATCGAATGATGACCATGTTGTGACCAGAGCAAGAACCTAATCCTATAGTGCCCCTTTAGAAGCAATACTTCAATATTCACTAATTCAGTGTTCGCAGCAACTTTATAGAACCTATCTACCATGAATAATGAAGATCAACTATACATGTATCAAGAGAAAGGAAAAGAGCCTTCTTTCCAAAACTGAGACTACGCCCAAAAAAAATAAAACAAAGTTTCTTTCGTCTACTTGTTCACACAAGAACTACTGGAAGGCCATGTCTTACAATTAGGGTACATATACTGCTGTTGAAGAACCTGGGGGAGCTTCCCAAAGAGACAGTCATCCTCCAACTCAACAGAACTGACAGACAACAGGAGGCCTATGTGAATGCCGACCAGCAGAGGAATGCCACAGGCACACACATACTTTTTAAGTCACTGTAGGCAGAGCAAAACAAACAATGGTTGAAAACATGAGCCCCAAGTCAAAAGGCACAAGACTAACTTTGAATTATACGTGTTAATGTGCCATCAGGTATTTTTTCACACCAGTGACTTCAAGTAACGAGCAAAAGAGTAAGTAGCTGAAAGGATTTAAAAGCAGTTAGTAATTTTCCTGAACAAAATGTTAGATAACCAAATAGTACGGAATAGCTATCACAGAGTATTTTTTTAAAATATAATAATCTCAATTGATCAATATAAATCTATGTATGATGCAAACATGGAGAAAATGCACTGTTCCTGCACTTCCATCTAACCATTTTCAGGGACCCAAAGGATATATCATGTAGCAGTAGTGTCGTCATTAAAATAACTCCCAACCTGTGTGTTTCATTTAATTTCCAGAAGATATCATAATATAAATACCTTTCTTCTTCCTTCCTCCTTTCGATCAAAAGCACATTGTTGTTTGCACTGTTCACAGGTCTGAGGTGGTCCGTATTTTTTTTCTGAATTTGTACATCGCTGACACTTTGTACCAATAAATGCAGCAATTATGTTACAGTACTGACAAGGCTTAGGCTGAAAAGCAGATACATATTTTAACTGAGACATTTAAAAATTAATTAAAAATTTGCTACATAAAACATATACCTATATACAGACATATTTCTAGGACTAATTAAGGAAAGAGATAAAAAAGCTTTCTGTTAAGTATGTTACCCTGTCACATTTAATGACATTCTTCATGTTCCTATTCATTTACTAACATTTATTTCTAGAGTCATGCAACTTTTTGTTAACTCTCTTAAATAAATAACGTCATGAGAAATGTATTTACGATTGGATGATATGTTATATAAAAGCTATATGTGAAAAAGTTCTCAAAGAATGAAAATAAAGGTACACACTGATAGAAGAGTTTCATGCATCCAGTATTTAGGAGCATGAACTAATTTAATAACCTAGTTATTCTCATTACTGTTTCATTTATTAAAAAAACATTTAACAGCTTTTTCTTAATCACATACAGTTATTGATGATGAAATGAATATACATTACCCATGAGCTTTCACCTTAAGAATTGGCACAAGCATATTTAACCTAAACTGTAACAAACATACCTTGATTTTCTTTGATACTCAAAAGATAATTCAGGATTTTACAGAACCATAAGGCCAGCACTTTGACCAATCATAACAGTACTATACCAATAATGACTGTCCTATACATGTGAGAAAAAAAGTATACTAGCATAATGTCCTGACTTTTAAGAATAAGTGCCTGAACTGTACTACTACATAAAAGCTATTAGAGGTTCTGAAGGGGGGGGGGGGGAATTATGCAAATTTTATAGATAAGGAGGTTCTCCATAACCAGGAGTTTATTATACTTGAGCCTCTGAAGAATAAAATCATACACTTCACACTGAAATTCAATATACACAAAACATGCACATAATAGTACTGTTTTCAAATACTATCATCCTCTGACTGGACTGTCATCCAATCAGACAGTCTACAGAAAATTTCTTTCCTGGAATATTTTAACATCCTGAATATTTAAGGACATAACCATATATATTTTTTACAAAGTCCATTTTGTGAAAAACACTGACTAGTAACAATAACATGAAATAAAAACGTAAAACATTCTTACCGTGCCAAATTGCTTCACATTTTGAGCACACTTCTTACAAATTGTATTAGTTTTGCTGAAAAGGAAATTGAATATAGATGATCAAATTTACATAGCTTTCTGAAGTAATTAGCACACTGTCGAACTAAAGCAAATACAGTTTATATTTGACATTTGCTTTAGTAGTTCTTAAAACTTCCTCTAATACAGACCAAGGATCTTCTTAGGGATGCATATTATACACATTTTCTCCTCTTTCATGAACTTTAGATAAATGATAAATGTTTTTACACATTTTTATTGTGTATCTTTTAGTAAAGGAAACAAAAACCAAAGGGAAAAAAATCCTTATGTTTCCTATCTAGTTCCAAAATCTTCACATTTGCCATTGTTTATGCACAGCCTTATATCTCAGTGCCTACCTAACCTTCCTCTGGGCCTTCCCCACTATTATGATGCCAGTAATCTACTTATGAAGAAATGATTTATTTGTTCTTCTCCTTAGGCTACTCTCTTATAAGTGCTCTGATCCTTTAACAAGAAATCACCCTGTTAAAAAGTATGTGCTGTTCTTCCACTGGTAACAAGTTACTAGATTTCACCTTGGAAGATACTTGGTAACAATACAGACCTTTCTTCAAGTCCATGTCAGCACTAATGTTTTGTCATTTTTACAGCTTAACAGTAACTTTATGTCTGGGTTTTTAGTCCACAAGACTAAACTGGTCTAATTGTAAAACAGCCACTAATTTTGTGTCAACATAGTCTCTCCCAGCACATATAAAAGGTTGACAACTTAAAATTTAAGAGAATAAACCATATTTAAGAATATTTCACCACAAATACGGGATGACAACCCCCCCGGTATTCCTTACAGACAACGGTGTCTTTAACAATCAAAAACTGTTTAGTATACAAACCTCTCTTGTTGAAATTCTGATCTGCAGTAAGTACATTTTACAATAGGATGCGCAATCCGACATTCCTGTAATAAGACAATGTATTAGTATCTATCTCAAAGTCCCCAATTTCACTTTTCTGGTAGAAAACTATTACACAACCTAGTCAAATTCCTAAAACATCAATAATACCTGTCCCCCAACGTACACAATTGAGTAATTTATCATATAAGTGGCCAATTACAGCATATTTCCTTAGGGAAGGCATAGGTGTCTTTGTCTTTACTTGACGTGGGGGGTATGCTACAAATTAAGAAAGCTGTCAGGGCCGATTTCAAGGGTTGGTTAAATGCGAAACTACTTAAAATTTTGCACCGTTGTTCACAGACAGCATCCTGGCTTTAATGGGATGGGAGGAGCTCCAAATCATAGAGCATTCTGTCCCCAAACCAGTCGCTTCGCTTTCCTGGACAGGGAAGAAGGATGCCATCAGCTTTGCGGCTTCAGGTTCCTAGCAAGAAAGTGCAAAAACCGTCCCCTGCCTCCCGGTGGAAGGAGAGGACAGTCCAGGCAGAAAACCTAGATGAAAACATCTCCACCCCAGGGTTTCTGCGGCATAGACAGGTGGCTGCCGCCTCACTCAGCCCCACCCCTGAGACCTCTGAATGTTGGTGGGGCCCGGCCCCCTCCTGGGCCGCCTGGAAGAGGGCAGAATCTTGTCTTCTCTCAGGGGCTCCTCCCATCTGATGCCCACGTCCTCGATAAACGGGTCCCGAGTGAGGAGGCAAGAAAGAGCTCCAAGCGCCCAAGGCGCGGGCGAAGAGAGCCGGGCTGCAGCGCAGCGGACACCCAGCTTCCCTCGGGCTCCGGCCGAGGAAACCCCGCCCGCCCGCCCGCCCGCCGCCCAGCGCCCACGGACCTTGCAGAGCTGCTGGCCCTGGGAGAGCTCCTCGAAGGGATAGCGCTGGGTACACTTGGTGCAGGCGTACAGGGCCGAGGCCGCCATCCTGCTCCTCAGTCTCCTCCTCCACCACCGCCCGCTCCGAGGCGGGGCCCTACGGGGAACTCGGGCGCCGCCGCCGCCGCCGCCGCCGCCAACCCGGGCCGCGGGCTCCTCCTCCTCCCCCTCCCCTGCCTCGCGCCCACCAGAGCCTCGCCGCTAAGGCCCAAGGCCCTGCGGTCTGCACCGTCTCCCTCCGCCTCCACTTCCGCCCCCAGCCCTCTCAGTGACGCCGTCCCAGCCGCTCCCGCTTAGGCCCCTATAGCGGCGGAGGGAGACGAAGAGGATAGCTCGATGCGGTTTAGCTGCGCGGCAGTGGATCCGCTTCCTTCTCAGCCTCGCTTCCCCATCTTTGATTGGCTGGGATGGCTACTGCGTCATTCGGTCGCTCCTCCCAACCCCTAACCCCTACTACGCTGGGAGCTCCCACAAAGGGAGGAAGTTGCTGGCCAATGAAGGACCGACGCTCTCAGCGCGCGAAATCCGCTTCAAACTCGCCCCGCCCAAAGGCGCCAGTAGCGCCTGTATGTAGCAGCCAGTCTTAGGTTTCAGTGACAACGGCCCAATCCAATTGGGCAAGTGTTCGTGGAGGTTTACTCTCTGCCTCCACTCTTTTTTTCCCCTTGACTGCTATTGGACCAAATCACTAAAGTCCCTCCTGATTCTATTTGTTATTGGTCAAAAGCTAAGTACTTCACCTAGAGAGGCGTCTCCGACTCGATCTGACGCTCTCTCCGGCGTCTACTCCAAGGGAACGGATGGAGTGTTTGAACTTCGCATTTTATTCTGTTTCAGTCATTCTATTCGATTGCCACTGGAGACAACACAACCCGTGGCCCACGTTTCCTCCTCGATGTGGCCCGCCCTTTTGTAGAGTCCCCTCAGAGCCGTGGGGTAGCCCTCAGCGTTAGCTTCGCCCGCGGTTTCGGCGATGCGCTACCTTGTGACGTCAGCGAGGGAAGAGGCGGAATCTCTCCTACTACCGGAAGACGTCCGCTTTTTTGATTGGCTACTCAAGACGTCCGTTAGGACGTGTTGCCTTTTCCGTGTGCGCTCTGAGCGTGGGCGTCCCTGTGGGGGTGTGTGCAGGGGTTTCTAGACCGGGCACCAACACCCCAACCCCTTCCATCAGGGGTTCGGCTTAGGGTCGCCCCTGGTGGGCGGCTCTCGAATCTTGAGGAAAAGCTCGAGAACCCGGACCCCCCCAGGGCTGCGGAGGTCCTCTCGGTAGGCAGGAAGATGGCGGCAGCATCGGTCTCTGCGACTTCTGGTTCTCAGATCTCGGTAAGAAGCGGCTGACGTTCGAATAGGCTCGGTCCTGACGCCTCTTTGCTCTTCCTCACCCTTCAAAGCGCTCTGGGCCCAGCGTCTCTCACCCATCCTGAGGAATGGCCGGGGATGCGTGGTCGCCCCTTGCCCTCCAGACGCCCCGTGCTCCCCTGTCGAGCCTGCACCCTTACCTCGAAACAGGCCTGGCCCGCCTCCATCCCCTGTTCATTCACCTCCCGGCCTAGAAAGGCAGGTTACCGAACTTTGCCAGGATTCGCTAGGGTGTCTCTACCCACGCCCTGGCCTGGCGAAAACATTGCAGCTTTGGTCACGTGTGTGTAACGGCGCCTCTTGGAAACTTGCCGAGACCAGGTGTGCTCGAGAGTTGGCTTAACTGGCAGCTGTTGAATAGTCCTCAGTCTGAAGCGCTTACTAGTTGCTGCTTGTGCTGATTCCATTGCGTACAGTGCCTCCCCTCGCGTATTCCCAGGGACTTTGTTCTTGCTCGTACCCAGAGCGCGCGCTTTCCACCTTCGGTATTACTTTGCAACGTGTACATGCCGTTCTAGAGAGGCGACAGGGACAGTTGAACCTGAACATTGTTTTCGCCTCTCCTAGGGCCCCCAGCCAGTTCAGCCACTATTATTTGTCGAATTGGAATGTCGGCGGTGCTTAGTATTTGGGGATCCGGCACTTTGGCAATAGGCAGAAAATGGGAGGAGTCTCAAGTAAGAGCCATTATAGCCTTTTTTTCCCCATTAAAGCGGAGTGCCTGCATACTTTGAGGATCTAAGATGACACAGGTGAACGAGGTAGAATCCCTGCGCTGAAGGAGTAGACACTGAGGGAAACTGCATGTAGTCAGGCTGTGACACAGTTCAGATTGATAAATGTTGCTGTCCTAAAATAACCTAGGCATGAGTGGCTAGCAGTTCTTGGTAGGCTAGAAACAGTTTCCCGTTAGGGAAGATGAAGCTAGCTAGGTGAGCTGTATGGGGAAGGAGTTGTAAGTGCTTGTCACAAGAACTGAAAAGGAGAAAAAGGCACCAGTGGCATTTCTAGGTATATGCCAAGACAAGAGGAGCTTTCAGGAAACTAGGAATGAGCAAAAGTCGTGTGGTGGTAGAGTTGGGTTAGATGAATTGTGGAAGTAGGTATAAACGTGAAAAAAGAGCGATAGGGAAGAAAACAGAGAACTATCAGGGTAAAGTTATGTCATACACACTAAGGGGGAGAAGTTTAGGGAGCATTAAGAACAGAGTCACCTCGGGAAGACAGTTTTCCTCAGTTTCAGCTTTTGGTGACTTAAGGTTTATGATAATGAGGCCCAAAACAACTCAGAGTTTCTGCAGAATGAGAGTAGAGTTTGCAGAGCAGTCATGGAAGATGGAGGAGAAGGAATGAATGAAGCACATAGAGTTTATTCCGGAATTAGGTCAGTGAAAGGGAATATAAAAAGAGGAACTATTAGGAGGAAGTGTCCCTAAGTAGATGGTTGAGATTATATAGGAGCTGAGATGAATTAAATTTAATGGGAGAAGAAGGCTTTTCACTGTTTTCAAAACTTAGCACACAGACTGAGGAGACTGAGCAAGAAGTACTCGTACAAATGTTAATTGAGTTATACTCTGCCAAGTCCATTTAGCTGAGCACTGGTACTGGGATGTGCTGTCAACCCTTATTCCATAAGGTAGCCAGATCATAAATTTCCTGGAGTGTTTAATAGGAAAGCATATATATTTGTATATACTAAGCTCAGCTTTAATTGGATTCTAAATATCAAGAATACACTTTTCAAATATCTAGGATCTTTGGGAAATCAAAAGTATAACGATCTTCTTAATTTGACTTGCTACATCAAACTAATTTGGAAGTCAGTTTCAAAACAAAAATGACTAAATTTAGATTATTAGTATATCAGAAATGACCATCCTCAGATGTTTAACTGTCCTGTCAGAAATAAGGCTGACATTTCCAACAAAATTTAAAACATTCAGCTTAGCAAATAGCTGATCATAAAATAACACATACACACAAAACCCTTTGAAAACTACAGCATAAACTCAGAGCCTGCTCATACTCAGATTTTAGGATTGTATTAACTATACATATATCCTATTTATTCAACACTCATAAACCCAGCTTGGAGCATGCTATAATAAATAGGGATGCTTTTACTAGGTAAGGATTTTTAACAGGTAAATTCACAAATAGCATTCTTGAGAAAGCAGCTACTATGTAAATCTCAAATGTGAATAAGATGGAAGCAGGTGATACATTCAGGTTTTTTTGTTTTGTTTTGTTTTTTAAGTATTTTTTTGCAGCAGCAGTAGAAGAGTAACAACAGCAGGTAACATATAACATGATTGCTATGTATCTTTTCAGTAGTGGCTGCCTCAGGAAAGCAGCTATGACTGGGCACAGTGACATTAAGTAGAAGTATATAGACAGCATAGTATTGAAATAGAGGAGTATCTTTCCTGTCAGTCCTTTTTTATTTTCCCAGTATCCATAGTCAGAACTCTTATGTCACTTTGGACTTATAAACTAATCTAACTGGTCTCTGTGGCTTTTTAACCAGGCCCTGTAATTAACATGCTTCATATTTTTTTCCTCTTAAGTTTCATGAATATGTCATAGCTTTTTCAATACTAAATATATAAAAGATTTATCTTTGAGATTAATAAAATGAATTCCTTTATGCTTCTTCATGCATCTTTTCTTTCATACATACCACCAGCATACGTTTTGAGATTATAAAATATGTAGTATTATATGGCCGTCGTGGTTTTAAGTGCTTTTCATATATTAACTAATTAGTATTTCCATTTTTGAATGAGCCAGATGAGGCACAGAGGTTAAATCAAGTTTACACAACTAGTAAATGGCAGAGCCAGTTTTGTTACTCACTAGTTTGCCAGCCATTCAAAAATAGTTGTCTTGTGATCATCCTTAGAAGTTCTACAAGTGTAAAAATTTCTCTAAAGTAGCGGTTTTCAAAGCATTGTCTGAAGACCTTTGGGGGTCGCTGAGGCCCTCCCAAGAGGGTCTACAGTTATCTTCCTTACCCAGCCACTTTGTGGGAGACCAGATTTTCTTGTGTGCCAGCCAAAATAGCATATTCAGTAGAGTGAATGCAGAAGCAAATACACGAATCCAGTAGCCTTTTTTAAAATTAAGAATTAAAGAGATCTGTAAAAATGTGTAAAAAATTCTTCATTAAATATTTTGGATGGCTGTTAGTTTTCATTCAAGAATTATATTTATGGTAACATCATGGGTGTATTATTTTTAAATTAGCAAGTATGTTAACATCTAGGTATAACCCACATGAACAAAAAGCTCTTTGGGATCTTCAGTAATTTTTAAGAGCGTAAAGGAGTGCCCAAACCCAAAATGTTTGAGAGGGGCAGCAGTGGTTTAAACTGCCAGTTGGGCTGTGGGTTCCAACTCGGTGGTGGGTTGTGGAATATGTTTAGTGACTAAGGACATAATCATTAAAAAAGAAGAAGAAGAAAGAGAAAATAGTTCAGCAAATACAGTTGTGATTGAAATGGCAGGATCATGGAGGGTGCATCTTTGGCTTTCTTTGATAATGCTGAATTGTTTTTCCAAAGCAATTGTACCAATATGTTTCCACCAATTATTCCCTTTAATCCATATCCTCTTGAACTTGTAGTATGGTCTCACTTCTGAATTTTTGCCAAGAAGGGAGTATGAAATGCTATCCTGTTCTTGTTCTCATTTGTGCTCCCCTTATCAATGTAGACAATGTACCTTTTATTTTTTCATAACTTTACTCGTAGTTTTTTTCTTCTATGAAATGCTTGTTTGTGTCTTTTGCCTGCCTTTAATTGGTTTGTCTTTTCCTGTTGATTTATACTCATTCTTTATGCATTCTGGAAGTTAATGCTTGCCTGTTTAGCTTTATTCTAATTACTCTTCAGCTTGTCTTTCACGTGTCTAAGATACCTTTTGATGGGAGTTCCTGATGTACATGGATAAAATTTATTAGACTTTCCTTTTTATGTTTAGTGCTTTTTGGTTAAATTCTTGAAGCAAAGGACATTAATGACATTCTTA